AGGTTTCCAACGCTCCAGGTATGCCAGTTTTTATTCCCAGGCCAAAGGTCGGATACTTTTCTCACAGGCCTCGTATATGTATATAGATTATTGCTATTTTGAAATAAGTTCTTAAACTTATTTTTCTTAAACATAGAACAGTAAATAAAGAAGTAAAGCAAACAATTATCTCTTCTAGTTACAACCTTTGTACTCATTTACCGCTTGTCGTAGGTTGCTAAGCCTTATGAAATTTCCTATGTGGAAGATGTGAAAAGAAAACTTTTTTTAGGTTTTATATATACATTTTAAGTAACCAAAAAATCATAAATTACTATATTGATACCATATAATTCCACTATAATTTATCAAGCATAGTAACTAAGCTGTAATTGGGTCTAAAAAATATGAAATTTGAGCTCACTAAAGACTTACTTCATTGTTTGAAATCTTGTGTGAAAAGAATGATATCAGCACAATAACATGTCAAAATGACTGATTAAACCACTAGGGGGGCATTCTGAGCTTTGATTGGTTATTCATGACATATATAGAAGTAAGTGTATATAAGAGACCATTTCCAAAAATGGAAAGAAGTGGGTGGGGTTCACTGTATTTAATTCAGTACAGGAGCGATAGCTTAGCAAATATAAAAGTTTCTTATTTCATATTCTAGCATGTCAATATCAGTAATTTGAGTTCCTAATTCGTACAAAACTGCAGATTTTGTATTTTGACATCACAAACATCAAATTTCAACCAGTGCTTCATTCAACATACCACATGAAACACAAAAATCGATATTTACTTTTAAATTAAGAAATTAACTAACATATAATACTAAAATTTGAATTATAATCTACAATTTGATACCAAACTTATTGACATAGATTCATAAAATAGTAGTTCGATAACATTTTGAATGCAAGTGAACAAACGCAATGACATGCCTTTGACATGTGATCCATCATGATAGGGTTAATATAATTTTATTTTTAAAACATTTTTCAGTGATATTTTAGTACTTGGGCAGAATTTGTTTAAGAAAGGTATCTTTTATTTACAAAATACAATAAGTCTTCAAGATAATTTACTCATAAATGCAAATAAAACTACTTTGTATTTAACAATTTACATAATGAAAAATCTTTTGTTCTGGTTGCTCAATAAACTGCTTCCTTTTGAGGCTAGCTTTTCGTAAGCTTAAGCATAATAATATTGTTTTGAAACTTGATTTTATTTACAACTTTGACCCTTTAGTGTATTATAATTTGCAGTGCTTAATATTTACTATCCCAAGTTCATCCCTACAGTAAGAGCTTGTGTGTCATTAAATGTACCTTTCCTAAATGTATTACTCAACATATAATGACAAAACAACAAATTTAACAACATTTTCATTTCTTCTGCAATTGACAATAACCCTGCAGCATAGCTTTTATTGAAAAAAGCTCCATTATAAGGCTGTGATTTCCAAACCACACCATTCCTTCCTGCCTACTTTCCATATTCTATTTAGTGTATGAGGAAGAATGGTTTCCTAGCAACCATTTAAACAGACTTATCGGACAGAAATCCATATACACTGTGTCTGGCAAATTTGTAAGGAATAACATGTATACCTATTTCTTTCTCCAGCTGCTTGAGGTATGTGACAATGGAACACAGGGTACAACTAGAAGCATTATCTTAGTGAACCCCTACCCTGTTGGCCCCTTTTTTTATATTTTGTTGTGTACTGTTGCCTTGAGCACATAGATGGCTTTTGCCACTGATCTTTGTGTTCATGGATCCTTACAAAGTGTTGTGCTTTGCTTACCTCAGCTGCAGTATGACTAGTTGCAGGTTGCTTTCTAAATAGTCCTTTTGTCTCAAGCTGAATTATATTCCTTGTTTTTTACCAATGGTATTAAGTCCAGAATTGGAATAAATCCTAATGATCTGAGTGTAAGAATATTTTGCAAAACAAAAGGCTGTTACATACTCTTCCTAAAAGTGATCAGTTTTCATTGGCAATAAACTACCTACAATATCAAAATGTAGTTCTGATACATACCATCCCACAATGATATTATATTGGCTGTGTTTCTCACATGACTTTCTGGTTTACATATTCAAAATTATCTTAAAATATAATGTATTAGTAACATTCATCTTTCTAACTATATGTGTATAACGTTCCTTATTTAAAACTAGAAAATCATATTTACAAGATAGAGAACCAATCAGAACAGATTTGGAAATTAATCAGGTAAAAGCAGCTCTTACTATAATAGGTTTGTGGTATAAGTTCATATGTAGTGTGTTTGTTTGACTGTGTGTATGCATGTGACTATCAGTGGAGGGCACTAAATTATATATTTTTGAAAAGTGGAGACTGATCAAAAAAAAGGTGATAAACTCTGTTCTGTGCTGTTGATCTCTTATATTAGTTGTTTTCAAAGTAAGGTTATAAATAGCAAAATAAAAACTACTTTTACTGATGAAACATCAAAAACTGAGCTATGTATCAATACTTTTTAACTTACTAAAGGTTTATTGTTTCTGTTGATTGAAAAGGACAACAGAGTCACGTTGTTAAGTGCTTTAACATACAAAAGTATACACAATTTTTAACCAATTTTTGAAACTGTTGTGCATTAATATACTTCACAACATTTTGTAAAACATTTTATACTTACTTTCATGAACTCTCTTGCAAACTAAAATAAAACCTTACCAGAAACTAAAAGATCTGATTTAATGCTCTTCAAGCCACGAGACCTGGCCCACTGACTAGCTCCTTCACCTACCAAAACACTGAGAGAATAATATATATTTATAATTTAATCTGCGTGATAAGGGAAAGAAATTCTAATAATGCAATAATTCTACATTTACAAATGTAAAAATAACTCATATAAGTTAAGCCTTTGTCATACTAACTGATGCAGAACAACATTTTTTCTGAATCTACAACAAACTAATAAACCAGCTAGTAAATAGATATCCACACTTTATTTGTATATAAAAAGGTTTGTTTTATTTTTACACTTGTATTATTTGAATCTGTTGCATGATTAAGATTATTCTTTGAATAACAATTCTAGAGCTTGTATTTTGCAGATACTACAAACTTCTGTCAGGCATCGCTGTATCTGAATTAAAACACCTTGCTTAAACTATATCATCAAGATGGTCAGTTTTCGATGAAGATACATAACTTAATGTGCAGCAATAAAATATCTTTAAATAATATTACTTTTGCCAAATGTTATATTTCACTTTAACACACTGTGGTAAAATAATAATGAAAACTGATATTGTAAGATTCTAATAATATATATATATATATATAATTAACACTATTGCAATTCTGTGTATAGCATTTTAAATACAATAACAAATGTGCTGTATTGAAAACATAGAATTACCATGGTGAAATTCTGTGTAAACTCAAGTTTTCATTATTCTGATGTAGAAGTAGTTCCTTGGCCACTAGAACAGGGTTCATGTAATCTATTGTTAAGAACAAAAAAATCGATCTGAGTTGTTTTTTTTTTGGTATTCTGACGTAACCTTTTCTCTCCTTTTAGTTTTCAATAGTAGCTAAGTTTCACAACTAATTTATAGTACATAATATCATTCATCAAACAATTATGATGTTTCCATGCATTTAATGGATATTAACATTTTCCTTACCCAAAAATGTATTTCTGATACATACTCACCTCTCCATAGTATAGCAGAGGGATTTGTATGTCACTAGTTTTATGGCAACTCTGATACATACTCACTTTTCCATAGTATAGCAGAGGGATTTGTATGTCACTAGTTTTATGGCAACTCTGATACATACTCACTTTTCCATAGTATAGCAGAGGGATTTGTATGTCACTAGTTTTATGGCAACTCCCTCTAATTTCACATTATTTTACAAGAATTGCTCCACTGCAAGATGACATCATCATGCAACAAAAGCACTCCACCAACAGGAGGATGACACACTCTCATGTGTAATAACTTCCCCCTATGCATTTGCAAGTAAGAAAATCTGCACCAAAAGTGGGGAAGACTGGTGGGAATGTGTGCAGAGTGATCTATCAGAAGTTAACAATTTTCTTCCACTGAAAATGTATTTCAGTTTTCTTCTGCCTTATAAACATTGCTAAAACATTTTTACAATGAGTGCACCAGTCTTTTTACCCCACCAATTTCAGGCCATTTCTGAACATGTGCATATCATGTGACTACTATCCACCAACAGTATTATGCCACTTATATTGGTGCAGCTAGCTCCCTCTGCTATTCCTGCTCAATCTTTACTTTCAAAAATTGGCAGACTCTGAAAGAAGAACACCAGCAGTGGGGAAGAAGAGTGTGAAGTGTGTGAGTAGAGGTAAGTATCTATGAGAAATATATAATTCTCACACAAAGCTAGAATTCCACATTGCAAAGGTGGAGGAGCTGGTGTAGGTGCACAACATAGAAACCAAATGGAAAGCAACCACACAAAATGAACAAGTGTGCTCTGAGATGAAAACAAAGCACACTTTTGGGGTACCACACTACTTCTGGAACAGGTATGTTCTTCACCCTTGAAGTAGAAAATTAATCTGATACGGGTGGAAAAAAAAAGTGCAATTTGTTCTGAAAGGTGAAATCCATAGTAAAATATAAACAGAATTAGCTATGCATATTCACAACCTCAACCAGATCAGACAAGGTTCCATAACTCATCCTTGGCATTAGTAGGTTGAAGATCAAAACATATACACAGCGTGGTCACAAGTACATAGACTCCACCTTTTCAGAAAAAATGAAATTTTTCAGTCATATTCACATGAATTGATATATTTATAATTTAATTAATATCTAGTAGATCTTCCTTTTGCTTCGTGGAGTTCGTTGATCCTTTGGGGCATCGTGAGAATCATCTAGTCAATTTTAGATTGTGGGAATTTCGCCCACTCTTGCTTCCAGACTTGGAGTAGATTGCTCTTCGAAGTTGGTTTTTTTTGCTTGTTTCTTGACTTTCCGGTCGAGTATGGCCCAGAGGTTTTCAATGGGGTTCATGTCAGGAGATTGGCTCGGCCAGGGCAACTTCTGAATACCATTTTCTTACTGCCACTTTTGGGTGTTTCTAGCAGTGTGACACGTTGCTCCATCTTCCTGGAACAACGTTGTGTTCTTGTCCACGAAACCCGAGGGATAAAGTGGCAAGAGTCCTTCCTCCAATATTTTGACATATTTTGCAAAATTTATGTTGCCAATGCACTCCACTAAACTCGATCTCCCACCAACCCAAACAGCTCCTCAAGCCATCACGCTGAAACCACCATACTTCACAGTTGGCTGCAATC